AGGCGAGCGCGCTACCGCTTGAGCCACATCCCCAGCCCCGAAAGGTAGTATTTAAATAGACAATAATTGAGAATTCTTTAGACTCAGTAACTTTTACTTTTATTGAACCTAAAGAGGTTAAGGTGTCCCAGCAAACACCACATAGGGTGATCAAAAAGAAATCTGAGACATGTTGTTGTCTAGTCCCTGAACAGGAAAGCAAAGCGAATATTACACAATTAGCAAGAAGGAAGAGACAAGCTACCTACATGGTATTAGATAGAAGAGAAAAAAGTTTGATAGCTATGTATTCATGATAAAACCTCTTAACAGTTCTGGGGGTTTAGTTCATTGGTGGAGTGTGTGCTTAGCATGTGCAAGGTCCTTGGTTTAATCTGAGACAGCCCCGTCACACACACACAGATGGGGGTAGGTGTCTGGTAGGTGTCAGTGGGAAAGCACTTGCCTAGCATGTGTGAGGCTCTGAGTTTGTTCCCCAGCATTACAAAAACAAACAGAAACCCAAAGCTTCTTACCAAAATGATTAATGGTGACTCCCAAAAGCATACAAAAAGCACTTTTTGTCATTCTCTGAGTTCAAGAGTGAGGCAAATGTGCCACCATTACTGTTCCTACTCAGGTCAATAAGATAAGGGGGAAAATACAAGGAAAAGGAATAAAATGAAAAAAGCAAAATTGCTATTATTTGCTGATTATGTTTGTCTGCGTAGGAAGATGAACGGATCAGGAGATTGTAAGCAAAGATGCAGTTAAAATGCAATATACTTTGTCATGTCTCTAGGAATGTATCTAAGTAAAGATATATAAGGCTTTATTTTTTTTTTTAGTTGTAGTTGAACACAATATCTTTATTTTATTTATCTATGTGGTGCTGAGGATCGAACCCAGGACCTCGCATGTGCGAGGTGAGTGTTCTACTGCTGAGCCAGAACCCCAGCTCTACATAAGGCTTTTATTGAGAAAATTGTACAGCTTTATGGAAAAAATTAAAGCTTAACTGAGCAGAATAGTATGCCCTAGATAGGGAGATTTCTCTTAACTGATGTATAAAATCAGTACACCTTTTTGAAACTCCAATTGATTTGTACATGGAATTGATAAAAGTTACATGGAAGAGCAAAGGACCAAGAGGAGCCATGTTACTATTAAAGACAAAAATGGAAGGAAGAGAGAATACAGCCTACTAGACATCAAGCTTATTTTAAAAGCTATGGAAATTATTGAGATAGACCAGTGGCATAGAATAGAGAGCTGCCCTGTACTCTCAAAAACTTTTATTATCAGAGTGGCATTGCAAATCAAATGAAGGACCATATCATTCTTTAGAGTAGGAAGTCAGAAAATAATTATGTAATAGTAGAAACTCAAGGAATAAAAGCCTCAGCATTCTATTTAGAAATTTGGAGGTAAACACTCACATAGAAAATAATCTTGAAAATAATTGACTTTGGAGAAATGGAATCGGGATAGGTGCCCAGGAAATGGGTAACTATTTTTTTTTTTTTGGTAATGAATCTTTTAGAAATTACTACTGCTACTACTACTACTACTGCTACTACTCCTTCTCCTTCTCCTCCTTCTCCTTCTCCTCCTTCTCCTTCTCCTTCTCCTTCTTTGAAAAGTAGAAAAACAAAGTAATTAAAAATTGGTGTTGAATTTTGTGAAAGTTTTTAAAATACCATTTTTGCCTGAAATCCTGGGTTCAATTCCCTAGCAATGCAAAAAACAAAACAAACAAACAAATGAAAAAATCAGCTGAATGTTATAGTACATCAAACATACTTTTTAGCTTCATCTTCCTACCAGTGAAGTTTATGGTTAGTATATTAGGCCAACCTGGATTATGGGAAATTTGAATTTCTTTTTACTATAAAAAGTCTTTTATTGTCTTCAAGCAGTTTTCATTTCTGCTGTTTGAAATAAGGCATTTGATAGATTTATTATTATTATTATTTTTATTCTAATTTGTTACATATGACAACAGAATGCATTACAATTCATATTATACATATAGAGCACAATTCTTCATATCTCTGGTTGTACACAGGTATTTGATAGTTTTATGTGGTATGTTTTGAGTCCTTAGTCTACGGAGTCAGATTATTTCATTGACTTTTAAGTGTCTAGTCCAAGTAGCTAGTTTTTTTGTTTTAGTATTAGGGATTGAACCCAGAGGTACTTTACCACTGGGCTACATCTTCAGTCCTTTTTTTTTTTTTTTTTTAAAGTTTTCTAATTTTAAGGCAGGGTCTCACTAAATTGGTTAGGCCCTCACTAGATTGCCAAGGCTGTCCTTGAACTTGTGATCTTCCTGCTTCAGCCTCCTGCGCTATTGCGCCTGGCTAGTAGTGAGTTTTATCATTCTTAAGGAAGATGTTACCAATCTTTGTTTTCTTCCTTTTCTAAATAGCAGAAAGGAACAAAGGTTTTGATGTAGGTGGTAGTTTTGTTCCATCAGTTCTGGCTAGGTAGTGTTCTGGAATTTTATAGTCTTAAGTGGTGCTGTGCTTTAAGACGACCATTGGTAAACTGGATGGTCCCCAGAAAGGAGGAATGGGGTTCTACTGGCCTTTATGATCATTGTGTATTTAATACATTTAACTTGGAGAAGAGGCGACTAAGGGGGAAATGACTGTCTGTAAATATTTGAGAGGATATCATGTGAAATACAGAACTTATGCTGTGTTGTCTGAAATCATGGTAAAAACGGTAGAGGAAGTTATAGAGCAACAGGTTTTGTTCAATGTAAGCAAGACCTTTCTAGGAACTAGTAATACATAGCAGTGCAGGAGGCTGGCCCTGATGAGTGGAGCACCTTTGCTCTGGAGGTATTTTAAGTGTAGGCTAGGTATCTTTCTAGTAAATTCCCAAGAAATTGCTTCTTCATCAGTGAAAATTGACCTCTGAAGTCCTTTAAACTTTTTCATGTTCTCTTGTAATGTTGAGATATTTGCTTAGCTTTGCAATGTTTTGTGTTTTTCAGACCAGTGAATGGAGGCTAAGCTATGTCAATAAAGAATTTGCTGTCTGCCCTTGTTATCCACCAGTTGTCATAGTGCCCAAATCCATTGATGATGAAGCTCTTCGGAAGGTAGCTACATTTCGACATGGAGGGCGCTTTCCAATACTCAGCTATTATCATAAAAAAAATGGAATGGTAAGTGGTACAGAACTGCTGCTTGATCTGCAGAAAGCCTTGGCCTGGGGATCTTTTCCTAGGGAGGTTGATTTTTCTGTGTTCATGGAAGCAACTGGCCAGGTCGCTTTCACTAGGACTTCCTTCACATAAACTCTAGGAAACCAGGAGCAGTTTGTTTCTCTGACGAGGCTATGATTGAATTCTTTCCATCATGCTCACCCTTAGAAAAGTCAAGATAGACATGTCTTCAGGACAGAGTGTAAAGGAAACTAGTGTTTATATGATGCTCGCAGCAACATTCTCACCAAATTTCCATGTGGAAAGTGACTTGAACAGATGTTTTTGTTTTCAGAAGAGAGAGGAGTGATCCGTAATTATTCATACTTTGTAAAACATGGAAATCAGGTTAGGTGCTGTGGCACACTCTGTAATCCCAGCAACTCTAGAGGCTGAGGCAGGAGGATGGCAAGTTTGAGACCAGCCTCCACAACTTAGTGAGACCCACAGCAACTTAGCAAAATAAAAAGGGACTGGTGATGTAGCTTGTGGTAAAGTGCCTTTGGGCTTATTTCCCAGTACCAAATAAAAGAAACCATGGAAATCAGGAATTTAATAGGCAAGGACTTGCTGGATATTTTCCAAATATTAGTTTACAAATTACTTTCTCTCTTCTTTTTTTCTCTCATCTGATAAACTCTGCTTCTCACTTTGAAACCAATAGTAAATTAGTAGATGATTATAGCTATCTTCCACCCCCCTGCCAAATGTCTAAAAATGGATATTTAGTGTAAACAGAATTTTAAAGATTTGCTATTGTTTATTTATTTATATTGTGGTACTAGAAATTGAACCCAGAAGTGCTTTACCTCTGAGCTACCTCCCCACTCCTCTTTATTATTTACTTTGAGACAGGATCTCACTAAGTTGCTGAGGCTGGCCTGGAACTTGCCATCCTCCTGCCTCAGCCTCCTGAGTCACTGGGATTACAGTAAAATGTTAGATAAGATACAGAGGTTGGAAGTAAGTGGCTATTAAGAGGGACTAAAGATAGTTCAAAATAATCCTGGCACTCTGTCTGCAGCATTTCACCTCTGCAGTCATGATGTTCTAGTCGGCCAGACACTGCAGGATTTTCAGTGTAGGTGTGTCTTCTTTAGAGAACTTCAGTTCACACTATAGACAGATGAAAGGAAAAAGAACATACAGATTTTGTCACGTGCCTAAGCTTTGGAGTATGAGGCTCAAGGAGCAGTAAGGTGGCTGAACCTGGTGGAATGTAGCAGAGAGAGGGACTCAGCTTCTTAGGGAAGGTGTACACAGCAAGCCAGGCTGTGTACCAAGTCAACCAGGGCTGACTTGTTAGGGAGATCAGTCTCCCAGGTGATAACTGCTGTGCTCATCTTTGTCTGCACCAGGTTTCAGACCCCCATCTCTTCTTCCAGGGGAAAGATCCCTTCTAGGCAGAAAGAGGCCTGGGGACATCAGAGAGAAAAGCTTCTGATTGTCACTGCTGTAGGCAGACGTCAACTTCATTTTACAGAAGGACAGCTTTTCAGAGCCATTTCTGTGTTAACAGAGGTCTGCAGTTAATTTGGAGTTGTGGTATTTTACTCCCCTCCAAACTCAAAGTTTATTGGCTCAAAGACCACTATTGTCTTTGTTACTGGGCCAGGTCTGTTAGTTGTTGAATTCATGGATTTAATGAATTGAAATATTAGATCTTGAGGAGATGATACAATTTAGTATGTGAAAATATCTTTTTTTTTTTTTGAGAGTGAGAGAGGAGAGAGAGAGAGAGAGAGAGAGAATTTTTAATATTTATTTTCCAGTTCTCTGGCGAACACAACATCTTTGTTGGTATGTGGTGCTGAGGATCGAACCCGGGCCGCACGCATGCCAGGCGAGCGCGCTACCGCTTGAGCCACATCCCCAGCCCCATGTGAAAATATCTTGAGATAATAGGAAAAATTTTGTTTTAAAGTATGTTTAGCCTTTGTTTTATGTCATTACTATTGTTTGTACATGGAAATATTTCTTTGTTTTTTGATCAAATCATCTCCAAAATGCTTTGTGATTGTTTTCCAGACAGTACTCTTAATCCAGCTATTTCCTTTCTGTTTTCAGAAACTTTAAAAGCTGTCCTATTGATTGTCAGCATATTGTGCTTCTAGGTAATTATGCGAAGTGGTCAGCCACTCACTGGCACTAATGGGAGAAGGTGCAAGGAAGACGAGAAGCTGATAAACGCTACCCTCAGAGCAGGAAAGCGCGGCTACATCATTGACACTCGGAGTCTAAATGTAGCTCAGCAAGCTAGAGCCAAAGGAGGTGGCTTTGAACAAGAAGCCCATTATCCCCAGTGGAGGCGAATCCATAAGTCCATTGAGAGGTAAAAGGTTCTGGAGATGGGGAGGACTCTGATTGGAAGCTAACTGGAGCAAATGAGTCATTAGCTGTTTAAAAATCACAAGGGCTCAAATGAAACCTGCATTAATTTTAAACCTGCATAATAATTTAGGTCAGCAATTGACTGAACAACTCATTGTGACCTTTTTTTGTCAGTTTTATTAAAGTTTCACAAGTAAAATTGCATCTATTTGTGGTATACAGTATGTTTTATTTTTGTTTTTGTTTTTGTATAGGGGATTGAACCCAGGAGCTCTGAACCACTGAGCCATATCCCCAGCCCTTTTTAAATATTTTATTTAGAGACAGGGTCTCGTTAAGTTGCTTAGGGCCTTGCTAAGTTGCTGAGGTGGGCTTTGAACTCTCGATCCTCCTGCCTCGGTTTCTGGAGCTGCTGGGATTATAGACGTGTGCCTCCATGCCCAGCAACAATATGCTATTTTGATATACTTCTACATCATGAAGTGATTACATCAAACTTTACATATCCATCACCTCATGTATTTATTTTTCTGTGGTGAAACATTTAAGGTCTATTTTTTTAGTAATTTACAAGCATACAGTATATTATTATTAACCATCATCATCATGCTGTACAGTCATGCTATACAGTTGTCTGACTGAAACTTTGTATCCTTTGACAAACATTTCCCCACCTCCTTGCTTTCTCCCCATACTCAGATCTACTATTCTACACTGCTTCTATGAGTTTGTCTTTTTTAGATTCTACCTGTAAGTGAGACCATGCAGTGTTTGTCTGTTTCTGTCTTATTTTGGTTAGCATGTTGTCTTCCAGCTTCATCCATGTTGTTGTAAGTGACAGAATTTCCTCCTTCATTAAGGCTGAATAGTATTCCATTGCGTATATAGTACCACAAATTCTTTATCCTCATTCATCTGTTGATAGATATTAGGTTGATTCCATATCTTAACTGTTGCCAATAGTGTAGAGCCTATGGGGATATAGATCTCTTTGAGATCCTGATTCTATTTCTTCTGGTTAATCCCAGAAATGGAACTGCTGGATCATACTGATGATTCTATTTTGAGTGTCCAGTGTGTAGTGCTATCAGTGGGAATATGATTGTGATTGTAGATTGCAAATGCAGTACTTTGGCCCTCTCTACTAATCTGGTAACCCAGCTGTGTGAACTGAGTTCACTGTTCAGATGCAGGACGGTTTACCATGACAGACATTTGAAGCATCTTTGTGTTTAAATATTTATATTTTAACCTTTCATCCTCACATTAATGTATACCAACATAATAATTTGATTATTTTTGCCCTAGGATATATCAGAGGCAGAGTTTTTAGTTTAGCTTCTTCCTTTATCATTCTATTTCATGTTTTCTTTCTTACTCTTTTACTTTTAAAAGGTATCACATTCTTCAGGACAGCTTAATCAAACTTGTGGAAGCTTGTAATGACCAAACGCATAACATGGACCGATGGCTCAGTAAGTTGGAGGCCTCCAACTGGCTGACTCATGTCAAAGAGATTCTGACCACTGCCTGCCTGGCAGCTCAGTGTATTGACAGGTAAACTGCATTTTATTCTTCCTGAATGGGGCACACACTGAGAACTAGACTTGTTTTTACCCAGACATGTGTTCATAGTGTCTGTGGAAGTTTGTGCCTATTCCATATCTTATATCTGGATGATTTTATAAATTGTTGTATAAGAGAGTCAGTACATTCAGTTATCAAGGAGGGATGTGCAGAGAGTGTGGCTTTTAGTAGATAATTAATATTTGTTGAATGAATGAACCATGTGCATACACATGTCTTCTGTGACATAGTTTTTTAAGTACCAAACCTTTTTTTTAAATAAAATCCTTAAATTTTCAATTTCCCAATTTTATTTTTATTACACTATAAAAGAGAAATGGAAGTAATTTTCTTATTTCTTCTCATGGGGCCAAATTTACCTCTTTACTTTTGCAATATCGATGAAAGGAGAGTTATTCTGTGATACAGTGAGATGATTCTTTCTAAACTCTCAGATACCTTATTGTAAACCACTTGGCGTGTGGTTATATCTGGATCTCAAGTTGGGAAAGCCTGGTTATAGTGAAGTGATTTAGGTCTATTCACTCAGTTGAAGGTTGCTAACCCTTGAGACTTGAGGCAGAAGATTGAACAGAGGCAGAAGGATTGGTATAATTGTTGCAGAAGCTTAGAATGCCCTTTGTAAGAAGGGGATTCCCACTGAAACCATGGGTAGGTATGTTTTGTCACCACACAGTTGGGTGGCACTTTTCTTTGAGACTTTAATTGTTTTATTAATGCTTCCAAATTAGGGAAATATGTATATAATTTTTCATTATTTAAAAAAATTGATAATGGAGTGGGTTGCTTAAGATCTTGTGGTAAGTTAGTGGCAGCACCTAAGAGTTGGGATTGCCAGGTTGTCATTGTTCTTTTGGGGTTAGGTGAAGCCCTTTTAGCCAGGAAAATACATAAATTGAAGATCAAGATTCTGTGCTAGAGAAATCAGTAATACAGAATGAGCCAGGTTAATATCAAAGGGTTTCTTTCTTTTCAACTTGAGTTTACCAGGTTTTTCCTCATAGCGTGAGTACAGAAGCCTCTATTTTCTTGTGAAACACAAATCTTTTTTCTTAAATATATATTTTAGTTGTTGACGGACCTTTATTTTTTATTTATTTATATGTGGTGCTGAGGTGAACCCAGTGCCTTACCATGCTAGGCAAGCACTCTACCAGTGAGCTACAATCCCAGCCCCCTGAAACACAAATCTTAATGACCGTTTATTACCACATTGTCTGCCTTTTCAGCCACAATAATGAGATGATGCTGACCAGGCAGCCTTAGGTCCAAGTGTGTTCAGTTTGGGCTGGCCACCTTCCATGAGCAGGGATCTCCAAACTCTCATGAGGGGTCAGGTTGATTTTTTGCCATGTTTGTGTTCCCTTTTGTCAAATGTATTAAATTACTATTTACACCTCCATAAAAATTTGTTCTTATAATTAATTGCTCAAAATATAAAAATAAACCTTAAATTAATTGAATTGTTTAGAATAAACCACACATAATTACAATATACATTCAGTATATTTAGAAGCCTTAAAAGTGTTTGCTCATACTCTTTAGCCTTGTCATTAGATTTTATCCTAAGAATGGGATTCTTGACCTACCATGCGTGAACTTCAGGGAGTCTGTTATTTTCAAATTAACAACCTCCTTACTGTAGGATTAAGTAAGTTATACTTCATCACATAATAGAATGTTATACAGCCATTAATACAAAGGTCCTAAAGAGGCCAGAGAAAYGTGGGGGAAGGACTTGTAATGAAAATAATAGGAAATTGCCTTTTGTTATTACTCTGTAAAGTATATATGTACGTGGAAAAAAATTTCCTTTCTCCAAAGTTTTCTTCATTATTGGTCAATAAAAAGGGTGGAAAAGGGCAGGAGGGATGTAGTTAATTTGGTTTTGTTGTTTCCTTCCCTTCTCTTGAGAACGGTGGGATCCCAATCACCACGTAGGTCTCATGGGACAGTGGTACCGTTGCCACCGACTTTCTAGGTTGGCAGTTTTAATGTTTTTGTTTTTTTTTTCCTATTGCCACGATTCTCAGAATGTGATTTCCCTGATCCATTATATTTTTTGAAGGTGCCCTTATAGTTAGCTGGCGGTGTGAAGCAGATGGAAATCATAGTCAGAAAGTAATTTTAATGTATGTTCATAGGTGTGATGAGAAAAGGCTTTACTCAACTATAAAATGCAGAAAGGTAAGAGCCTTCTAAAAGGACCGCTTTTCAGTTTTGTAAAGGGACAGAATATTTAGCTGAAAAGTGCTGTGAAATTTGTTATAATTTAATGGGAATCTGGCCATGTGAAATTTGGGACTCATCATAGTCCTTTTTCTCTCTAGAAACCCTTTATCTATCCAGTGCTTTATTTAGCATGAGGGAGCTGGATAATGTCTTTGTCTATCCAATAATAGAGAGTAGGACAGAGAATAGTGCATAAGTTTAAAATATYGACTCAGTAAGTGTTTATTGTTAGCAGTTCATTGGCAGTGTCGGGAGTGTCCCATGTGTGTCTGGGTTTTCCACCAGGGAAGGAGCATCGGTTCTGATTCAYGGAGCAGAAGGAACTGACTCCACCCTGCAGGCGGCCTCCCTGGCTCAGATCATTTTGGAACCACGGAGCCGGACCGTCCGAGGTTTCGAGGCCCTTATAGAAAGAGAGTGGCTTCAGGTGAGAATAGCCATCTATGAGGTGTTGCCATCCTGAAATGGGGTAGCTGACATCGTGTGTGGAATTTTGATTGGTTAACATTTTTAAATTGTGTGTTTAATTTTCTGTGGGTCTATTAATCTATCTTCCTCCTAGTAAATGTTTATGATCTTTACCCCTCTCAATTTCTAGATGTCTTTTTGACTATATTGCTCACTTATTATTTCATCCACTTAAAAGACTTGTTAGCTGTGCTGGTTGAGCATCACTAATCCAAAATCTGAAACTTTTGAGTGCTAACACTTGACTTATGTCAAAACATAGGGGTACTCAAAAAACCAAAGGCAGAATGTTCTTTCTAATATGTGGATGCTAACCCACAACAAGGGAGGAGAAGATTAGAAGTTCATTGGACAAGACGAGGGGAATGAAGGGAAAGGAGGAGGGGTAGTTATAGGAAAGACAGTGGAATGAATTGGACATATCTTTCTATCCTCATATAAATACACTACCAATGTAATTCCACATCATGTACAATCACATGTATGTATAATGTTTCAAAACATACTCGACCGTCATGTAAAACAATAATTAAAAAAATGGGTACTAAATTACCTTCAGGTCATAGGTAAAAGGTGTACATGAGACATAAATGAGTTTTGTATTTAGGCTTGGGTTCTATCCCAAGATATCTCCTTATATATATGCACATTTTCCAAAACATGAAAAAATTTGAAATCCCACACATTTTAATAAGGAATACTCAGCCCGTACTTGGTTACATTTGGGGGAATTACAAAGAATGTAAAACAGCCTAGTCTCCTAGAAGCTGAGTTTTGATAGTGATAAACAGGGAAGGCACTATTGTAGCACTTCCTGCCTTTGCCTTGTGGCTTCGTACCCTCTTCCTTAACCAGGTGAAATCCTTTTCATCTTTTGAGATCCATCTTTTGAATGTCACTGCTTTCATGAAGTCTTTGAGACCTATCTCCTTATTTACAGATAAATTTGGTTCTTTCCCTTCATGTACTGTTTTCTGAACTATCCCCCAAAAGTGACTTCTTTGAGGTCAGGAAACCATGACCTATTTATCTGTTTATCCCTAGGACATAGTACACTGCTGTCATATAATGTCGAGTGACTATTAAAATAAAGTTCTCATGGCATCAGCTGAAATCCTCCAAGTCAGAGATTAATTTAAGAATCTATTTTAACTTTGTAATTTGATAAATAATTGTGATTGAAAATAATTGCTCAGATATATGTTGAAAGAGGACATATCTTATTATTTTTTTTTTTAGGATTTTTTTTTTTTATTGGTTGTTCACGAGGACATATCTTAGATGCAAAGAATTTCTGGCTCTTCCAGTTACAATGCAGATGCATTACATGTATATGTGTATATTTCTTCGAAGTTTTGAGCATGGAACCCAGGGCCTTATGCCTGCTTAGACAAGTGCTCTACCACTAAGCTACATGCCCAGCCTGCAAATGTACTGTGTGTTACTCTTGTGATGTATGCCCTGTTCTCTGTTTTAATTCCGACCTTCCCTATATTGTATTTGCCTTCCCTGGTTGGTGATATCAGTTCAGCCACCTCCCTCATGCTGCATAGTAGACAAACCAATAAATGTGCTTGGTTAATTCACATGCTTTCATTTTGATGGGTACCCAGATGGGTTAACCATGGGAAGTTTCCATGGTATTCTCTCTGTCAGATACAGTAGTACACAGATCCAAAGACAAAGCAGGACTCTGAAATATCTAGTCGAGTGATTTGTAATGAAATCAATGCTTGAATTCTGGGCAGGAGGGCCGATTATTCTTCAGGGTACTTTGGGCAGGCTCTTGGCGTGTTTGGAGGAGAAGAGGGTTATTAAGGACAGCTTTGGAGGCTGGGGATGTGGCTCAAGCGGTAGCATGCTCGCCTGGAATGCGTGCGGCCTGGGTTTGATCCTCAGCACCACATACAAACAAAGATGTTGTGTCTGCCGAAAAACTAAAAAATAAATATTAAAATTTCTCTCTTTCTCTCTCCTCTCTCTTAAAAAAAAAGACAGCTTTGTCTCTAATATCAATGTACAGTATTCATTAAGATTTCTTCAAGACATTAACTTTGCCCACATGTAACTGAAGACTTACTATCAGAGCCGATACAGACTTACATGGTTTGTCAGAGTCCTGGTGTTTGTCTCCATTTAGTGGTGAGGCTTATGTAGCTTGCAGCACAACATACAGTGTTTTCAGATAGAGGGCGATTATTGTCCTTGCTTTGTACCTGAGAACTTATGTTCTTTGACTTTGCTCCACATTTTATAGACTTAGGTTTATTTTGTAAATTTATCGTTACTTAAATTCATTATTTTTTCATTTGATATTCCAAGGACAGTAGCAATTGCTGAGGTCATGTCTTGACTACACAGCCWTGTTAAGGATTTAGAATTCTACCTTTCCTTAGTTGCTAAAATTATTCATTTTGAACCAAGAAATCATTATCTAGCAGGAGCTACCCTAGGTTTAAGATGTTTTAATTAATATAAAATTCATTGGAATTACGTGCAGTAATGTTGATAGAATGTGTTGTAATGTGATCTCATCAAGTGTGACAGTTAAATTTCCACCTTTTCCCATAGGCTGGTCACCCGTTCCAACAGCGCTGTGCACAGTCAGCTTATTGCAATAGCAAGCAGAAGTGGGAGGCGCCTGTATTTCTTCTCTTCTTGGACTGTGTTTGGCAGATACTCCGTCAGTTCCCTTGCTCTTTTGAGTTTAATGAGCATTTCCTCATCATGCTCTTTGAGCATGCATATGCCTCACAGTTTGGAACATTTCTGGGCAACAATGAAAGTGAAAGGTGGGTACAGTGCACAAGGGACATTTCATTTTTAGTTGCTTGGTCACTTTCCAAAAGAGACAAGGTTTGGGGGTCTGTTAATGTTACACAGAAAAGGGTAGAGACTACAGTTAAGTTACGTGTAGTCTAAGAGCTAATCACATGCTGGAGGAGAGGATATCCTAGATTTTGTTCTGTTAGGTTAAAGTAAGTTCATACATTAAGTAAAAACTTTGAGCCATTTTGGGCAACCATTTTAAATGTTAATTTCTTTATATAGGATTATGATATCTTACATTTGGAAGAAGCCTTAATAGATGATCCTACTCTGTCCCTTGGCTTTCTTTATAGATTAAGAGAAGATTCAGAGAGGTTAAGTGACTTGTCTAGGGACACATAGCTGGCTAGTCACCAAAAGTCTGGCCTAGAAATAGGTCTTCCTGCTCCTGCTGACAGAGCTGGCCAGCTGTTATACCTAGAAATTGGCCTCAGGTCCCAACTGAGTCTCSCTTCACAGTCTGGGCACTTTAGGTTTTCCAGTTTATTAGAAGATTTGTATCAAAATGTTCTTAGAGGTGCATAGCTGGTAATCTTTCCTTTGGTTACAGTCACCAGGCTTCCTCTGGCTAGGGGCAGGATTTGCCTTGTTGCTGGGTGCCAACACCATGTAGTTGAGTAGTAAATGTAAATAAATGAGTGGAATTGTTCTATCTTTCCTAATTTAAGTGTCAGAGAGCCAGGTATGATGGCACATGCCTGAAATTCTAGTGACTTGGGAGGCTGAAACAGGAAAATCACAAATTCAAGGCCAGCCTCAGCAACTTGGTGAGGCCTTGTCTCAAAATAAAAATAAAAAGGGGCTTGGGATGTGGCTCAGTGGTTAAGTACCCCTGGGTTCAGTCCCCAGTACCAAAGCAAAATAAAAGTCTGAGGAGAACAAAGCAATGCATGTTTTATTTAGAGCTGAATTGGCAAATGTTTCAACATTTGAGTTTCTCATAGATTTTTGACTTCAGAAGAAATAAAAATGAGGACTATATGAGTGCTGTAGAAAGTTCTCTGTCATCATGGTTTTCTCATCTTAACTTTTTCAATTAAAGGATACTGTAAAGTATGGAAAGGAGGCAAAGACACTATAGCGTGAATGTACTAATGTACTTTAAAGCAAAATTTAGAATTGTGCACTTAGTCAAGGCACAGGGCTTTTGGAATGACAGAGTAAAAGAAAGGCCTCTGAATATTGACTCCTCCAAATAACAATGAAAATACTTGCAAAAATATTTAAAAATCAACTATTTAGAATTCTGGAAATTAAATAAAGGCTTGCAACAATCTGAAAAGCATTCATTCAAGAAAAACTGCTAACCCTTGATAAGAACAGCAGGGTTTGGGCACTTGAACTTTGCCTAGCACCAACTCCTTTGCTCCAATTTGCAGTATCACTGAAAACCAGGAGCATTACAGCCACCAGAGGGAGGAGGAGCAGATTTGGAGTTTCTCAAAGAGTAGGGTACCAGGGTTGAGGATGCAGTTCATTGGTATAGTACTTGCCTAGCATGCACAAGGCTCTGGGTTTGATCCCCAGGACTGTCCAAAAAAAAGAGAAAAAAAGAAAGTAAGTCAGAAACCTCATGCCTTTAGAATTGTGCATACTTCTAAATTTTGCTTTGGAATACATTGGGTACATTTGTGCTGCAGTGTCTTCGCCTCCTTTACATACTTTCCAGTATCCATTAATTGAAAAAGTTCAAGATTTGAAATTAGAAGATTTATGTTCAAATCTCCATTGTGCATCTTTCTAGCCATATGACTTCTTACAGAGTCATAAACAATCATTAAAGGCTTTAAAACACCCTTCAGCAAAGTGACATATATGACTAGTTCAGCATTTAAGGAAATATGTTTGGTGACTACGAATTTCTGTTTGGTGTTACACCTAATATCCCTCAGAACTAACCTCTGACAAAGGAATCCCAGGTAGATTCATGTTCTGCTCCCCAGTTGTAGAGTTCTGGTAGTGCTGAGTGAGGAGGATTCTGAAGCTCTGTTGGGCTCTGCTGAATAAAGTTCAGGGATTGGCTAGCCATGGGCAGGAAGCATGGGGCTGTGGCAGTGATGTCTTGTCCTTGCCATCCCTGGTTCCTGGGAACATAGTGTGGGACACACTGTACTAACAGTTAAAGTCCAGTGCCATACAGATTTTGTGATTAGGTGGAAAACATGTATTGCATATAAAAACCACACATAATTAACTTKTTTGCAGCTTTGTAAACAATCAAGTGGTTTCAGGGCAAACCTGACTTTATAATAGAACTTCAGCTTGAATAGTGAATCCTGTGAAAATTGAATGTATTATCTTTTTGGTTAATACAAGTTTACCACAGGCTTTCAATCTTTGTTAAATTTACATTTTCCTAAAATGTAGCAGTCCATTTTCCTTCCAAATAGTTTATTCCATGATAGTGTCAAAGAGTTTAATATGAGGATTATTACAAAGATTGTTCATTGGGTATGGATGTAGATTAAGTCTGCTTTACATCAAGATTCATGTTCATTTTAAATCTTTGACAATTTATGTTTTATGTATGTGTTAGTTTTCCAAAAAGCTAAATAATTATCTAAAAAATTTTTACATTTTGAGATTTGATTCAACCTCCTTTTTAATATGTATAAATTTTTGTGTCTTTATGTACTAGGCTTCTCAGAAACAAAGAAAGTAGGAAGTTTTTTTTTTAATATTTAGCTATTTTAAATTTAAATATATTCCGTGGCACATGCTTGTAAATTCCAGAGACTCTGGAGACTAAGGGAGGAGGATCACAAGTTTTATGCTAGCTTCAGCAACTTAACAAGGCTCAGTCTCAAAATGAAAAATTAAAAAGGACTGGGGRTATAGCTCAGTAGTAAAGTGTTCCTGGGCTCAATTCCTAGTACTTCCTAGTACATACACATACATAGATACATATATACAGTGAATCCCAGATATAATAAAGGACTTTGGATTAAGCTTTATCGGTGAACCCAACATAACCCGATTCTGGTTTTGTCTTTTGCCTGTTTCTTGGAGGCCTGTAAAACAGACTTTGTTTTGTTGAGAGTTATAATGCTGATGAAATTTTATGACAAATATTTTTATTTTACAGTATTTTATTTCTCTACTAAAGGACTTGTGTTTTGCCTTCTATTGTACAGAGCAGACAAATTGTCCTATTAAGAGGAACATTTCATAGTGATTGTTTGATGGTGATTTTCTTTCTTGATCAGATGTAAATTGAAGCTCCAGCAGAAAACGATGTCTCTCTGGTCCTGGGTCAATCGGCCCAGTGAGCTGAGTAAGTTTGCCAATCCTCTCTTCGAAGCCAACAACTTGGTCATCTGGCCTTCGGTTGCTCCACAGAGTCTCCAGCTGTGGGAAGGTAAACCATTCCCTTTGCTGACTAACCACTCCCAGATGCTCTCCTGGCTGCCCAAGAGCTTGTGCTGCTGTGCCTGGATGTGGTCTTCAGGCCTGTTTGTCATTGTTACTAAGTGGTCTCTGATTAGTCATCTTTTCACATTTTTTCTAGTCCCCATTGGAGAAATTGAGAGTGATGATACACTGCTGTATGTATTTCTTGTTCTGTTTTCCCCAGATAGGAAAATGCATTGCTTTTGCATAACAGAGGTTAAGTAGGTAGTTGGATATGAATAAATTATAAGCTGTTTTCCTTTTTATGCTGTTATTATGGTAGGTTCCTTTGTAAATGCTATCAAATGGTTAAGTTTTCATTCATTCCAGTAATGTCCTATAAATAGACACAATACCATCATTGCAGAATTGCAGACATCTCATTGTTCATATAGAACAATAATCCATGCTCAGTTTTTACATGTATTCTAAAGTAGGTTATTTACATATACTAATTTTTCTGGCTACTGAAGCTCATCCCCTTAAATAGCAAAGCTTTTTCTGAAAAATTTACCAAAAGCTATCTAAAATATATTAGCTGTTCATCAAACAAAGGCTGTAAAATACCATTTAATTTCTTTGTAATCATTTGAAGACAGTAAGCACATCTTTATTCATGTACATATTAAGAGTGATAAAGCTTAAGATACAAGAATAGCAGCTATTTGGTGAATCAGACTAAATTACCATAAATGTCAGTGATTATACCATATTCTAATGTGTTGTATCTTGAGGGCACTTTGCATGTGGAGAGCTGTTTGCCCTTATACAGAAGGTCTTAGATGGTTTGCCTTCTTGGTCAGTTTCTACCTCTTCTGAATGTCAGTGCTGTGTCCTCTCCTTGTGGGGCAGCCATCTCAGCATGTGCCTCTAATCCCTCCTGTCCAGGCGTCCCTGGTTGGAAGTTGGGGAGATGGCTTCATGTAGTCTCCAAGCTCTCTGAGGCTAGGATTCCAGGCACTGATTTTGGGAAGGCCTTTTGGCTGCTAGGAAAAGAACTTCTTTGCCTATTTTTTTGTGGACAGTCACAGGAATAGAATAAGTGATCCCTTAAGTGAAAGATTACAGCTTTAGTTCCTGTTTAAAGACTTTAGGACAATTTATCTAAAAGCCACTGTCATGTTTAATCACTGAAGAAGCTAGCTTTTGGGGAGAAAAGCCAACTTTGTGAGTTGGATGTCCTGAAGTGTTCTTTAACTAGTTTTAACCAAGCCTCATTGGGATTTAGAGATTAGTGGTAGAAGGAAAATTTTGTTGTTACATGGATGAATTCCTGCTACTCCATTAAGAACAGTCCCAGTATGTGTTTAGCGCTTCCTCAACTCAGGGCTGGAAGAAATAAATGCTATATTAGGTTAGATCTTATGATAGGTTTAGAATAATTGTGTGACAGAAGAAACAGTGTAGGTCAGTTAATCTTTAAGCGTTGGCTTTCTTTATCTATGGTTGCACATGCACAGAGGTAACCAACCATAGGTTGAAAATAGTTGGAAAAAAACTGCATCTGTACTGAACATGTAAAGTTTCTCCTTGTTGTTATTCCCTATAACAACTATTTACATAGCATTCACATTGTATTAGGTATTATAGGTAATCTAGAGAAGATTTAAAACATGAAGGGTGTGCACATATTATGTCATTTACATAAGGGACTTGAGCATCCGAGGATTTTAGTATCCAAGGGAAGAGGATGTCTAGAACCAGTTACCCTGCTGATACTGAGGACTATAAATCCTTTTAGTCTGTAGTAAAAGGGTAATTATTATTTGAGAAGGGAAGCAGTTATGCCTCTCAAATACTGGGGGAATGAGAGGAGAAGAGCACACACTGTGCTGAAGTTGAGGCAGCAACCCATGTGGGCTCTGCTTTTGCCATCACTGTCACTTTTCCAGTGAAAGAGGTTTCACACATGTAGGAAATCGGGCCAGAGTAAACCCTGTGAGTGTAAAAATAAATGATTTGCATCGTGAAACTGGGAAGTTTGTGGCATTGTTATCAGCTTCTTTTCTTGAATGTATCACAGAACACTATTTTGCTCTCTGAGAATTTTGTGGAATTTTTCGGAAGAATTAGTATGTACATAAAAATAGTGAATTATTAGCTATTATATTTAATTGGATTCTTTCAGTACCTCAAGATGCCTGTATGTTTTAGAATATAATAAACATGTGCTGGGGTTGTAGCTCAGAGCTTGCCTAGCACATGTGAGCCACTGGATTTAATTCTCAGCACCACATATAAATAAATAAAATAAAATAAAGGTATTCTGTTCATCTACCACCACCACCACCACAACAACAAAAACCAAATTAGATCTTGTTAAAAAATAAACAAAACAATATGTGTTGAAGAAAAAAATGTGCAGTATAATATAGGGAATTATCTATTATCCACTAACATGGTGTTGATCCATTATTTTTTTCCCTTCTGTTTTTCCACTCATGTGGAATTTTCAATAGGAATTTTCCTACGTTGGAACCGATCCTCCAAGTATGTGGATGAAGCATATGAGGAAATGGTGAACATCATTGAGTACAACAGGGAATTACAAGCAAAGGTCAATATCCTGAGGAGGCAGTTGGCAGAACTGGAAACAGAGGATGGACTGCGGGAGAGTCCCTGAAAGACCCCCACCATCTTAAGGACCTTCATGGCCGAGTCCTCCTCTTCCCCTCTCTTTCTGCAGTTCACTTGTACTTGATAGCCTTCAACTTAAGGCTTTGGACAGGGGACCCCTCTGATGTCATGCTCTCTCAGCACTGTAGAAACCACACCCACTATGATCACATTGCTTTGGAAACAGGAAGGAGGTCCCATTTTACATGGGATCGGTGACCTGTTTAATGGCATTTGTGTCACACATCATTTTACCAAAACTCTCCTCCTCGTCCTGTTTCCAAACAGTACTCCAGACCAGTTGAGGGTATGATGAAATCTCTTTAGGGAATATTTGGTGGATTAATAAGAGTCAAGCTTTTTAGCACTCTTGGTATAGAAATGTTTTTTAAAACTGAAGTGGTTAATAAACAAAAAATTTTGTTTAATATGCCATTTCCATTATCTTTGCAACATAAAATGACCATTCTCTTACAATTTTAGACTAAAAAAATTTGAATTCATTCTCATTCTGGATTGTCAAGAAAGGAAAATTGGAATACTTGTTCAAGGTACCTTCTTTCTGTAAGGGCAACAGGTATGGTCATTTGATTTTTGCATTAAGAAGAATTAAATTTATTTGAAGAGCAGACACTAAAAGTATGTGCAATATAGAATTCAAGTAGGAATTTGTTATTAAGAGAGAACTGTTACTATTGAATTTGTTTTTCAGGTCTCTGACCATGCATATAAAATGTGTATCAAATACTGGATATAAAATTAAATCATCATTTAGAATAAGGTTAATTTGTTAAGATTAAGCTACAAATATGGTTTCCTTAAACCAGAGATGCACTGCCCTTGTYAGAAGTTCTAATTGCACTGTTTTATATGTGTATGTGTGCGTTTATTTTATTTTTAAGTATTTTAAGCATTTACTGGGACTATGGTTGTTAAAACTTTCTTGTTGGCTGGAGCCATTCGAAAGTTTATCTTGACTCCACTAATTTGCCCAATATGTGTTAGGCAAACATGATTTAACTGAAGGAGGAGATTTTTTTAATACGATGCAGCTCTGTTTAAACCTCAGAAGCAGTTCTGCAGCGTCTCAGTGTTACAGAACAGCAGTGGCTGTGCTCCTGCTCTGCATCTTGGTTATAACCGCAGCTCTGAATGTTTGTGGTTCAGTACTGTCCAGATGTGTTTCTATCTAATGGCACTGCTCATGGTAACAATACCATCTGTTCTAGTTTTCCTTTAAGAGAATATTTGGAGAGTAATAACGTTTCTACACCATATGTGCATATGATTTCAGTAGTAACATGGCATTGGACCCTGCTGCAGAGTTAGGTATTGAGGTAAAAATACAACTTTCAAAAATATACTCTTGCAAAATTTATGGCCACATTCAGGAGCCTTAGAAAGTGGCAGATGCTTTCTGTCTTCAAATTCCCAAACTTCCTCTTTTTCGCCTTTCTCAGACTTGTACAAAAGGCTGGATAACAATCAACAGTCAAATGGTCTAGGTAAGTTTGCCTGCCTTCTTCTCTAAGCTCAGTTTTATTCTTGGCCTATTTTCTTGACTGTAGTCATGATTCCTGGGGCATTGACACCTTCACAAAAGACTAAGGGAAGGAGCTTTAGAGGTGTTCTTGCTGCCCATATCTCCGTGTTCTATGAAATGTCTGGGTTTCGAAAAAGAAGAAACAGCCTCACTTTTTTATGGATCCTCAAAATTCCTTTTGTTGGTTTGTGCAGCTGATCTTTTTGTCTTCTCTTATTTTTGTCTCAAGGCTACATATGAAAAAAGAGCCCTTTTCTTTTCAACTAATGGATTGATAAGGAGAACCATCTGGAGATTTCCTTAGTGATTTTTTAGAAGCAACTTCCACTGCTTATGCTGATCAGCTGCAGGGCTTCCATGGGTAGCAACTTGGAAGGGAATTGTTGTTGGGCTTGGTCATGGGAAACTCTTAAGCCATCAGTTTACACCTGTCTTCCTGATGAACACTTGATGTGTGAGCCAGAGACAGTAATAGCCTAGTATTTCAGTTTCTTTTTCTTTCTCCTGTTGAGACAGGATAAGTTTGTATTTTAAAGTTAACTTATAAATAGGGATTAACCAAACCTCAGATCTGTTTGCAAGTTGTAAAAATACATTTTGCTATAAGTGCACTTTCAAAAAGGTCACTTAATAATGTAAATATTACAGTTTCCCCAAACTCAAGAACCCTGTCGAGAACAAGTGCATCATCACTATAATTTGAAGAGGGTTTCTAGCAATACTATGGAGTTACCGCCCTGGGGTGAGGAGAATAAATTACAATGGATACGCTCATGAAAAAATACTTGTTAAGCATTAGGTCTGGAGAGTTGCCTTTGGTGAATATGGCTTTAAAAACTCCAATGAAAAGAATTGGTGACAGAATTAGTAAGCAAGCAGATGCCCTGTATGAGCCAGAGATAATCAAGTGTGAGGTGATCAGTCCACATACGTTAGTCGTCGCTCTTCTTCTGTAGAGAGGTTGGTTGACAGCGGGAAATGTTTCATAGAGTAGATCCCCAAAGATCATCTTCAGAAATACAAAGGACTACAGTCCTTCTTCAGTAACACCAAGGATCCTGAGATGTAAGCTAATGATTTTTTGAAAATCAGAAGAATATATTTACTTGATTATATAAGAAACCTGAAACTTTTTAGTAATTGGATTGATTAAAATTTTTGTTTTAACATTAAATGGAAAGAAAAGCAAAATAATAAAATCCATTAGCTTTTAAACAACTTATAAATATATTTTATTTCTTAGAAAAATTAGGCTGTCAAAGTAGAATTTTAAATGATTTTTGAGCAAACTTGCAAGGATAATGATAGTAATTGAAAATCCCATAGAGAGAATTTTAAAATGTTCCTTTGAACTTTGAGGCCTGATTAGAGGTAGGATCTCATTGCCTTTCATTTTAAAGATGAAGTTTAGTGGGATTTTATTTAGTCTTTGATTTAGTCAGTAATTGGCTTATGTTAAATAAAGCCAATATCATGGAAAAGATTTAACAGTTTATTAAAGTGAAAACATTTTGCCGCCTTTGAAAGATCTGATTAAAGACAGAACTCTGGTAGCTTTCTGGCTTCAGGAATAGCTGTTGTACTTGTCAGACGTCTTGAGAAGGTCATCAGGGTCAGTTAATCAGACTTAATCAGAGGCAAAGGTTTTAACATTGTCCACTTCCAATTTACCGAATGAGAACTACACAAGGATACTGTGGACATTCTTTGTTAGAAAAGTATTTCCTGGATAGGGAGTGGGTAATTTTTAGAATAGCTGCCCTCCTGTTCTGGAAACTTTGACCGTCACCAGGGAAGGATGGCATTGCCACATTGGTACAGGTTTGTGCCACACCTCAAGATGTAAGTCAGTTACTTCTCATTGTTTAACAAGAAGACAAACTGCCTCTCCAGAGCTGGTATTGTAAGTTATTACCAGATAGTATTTTTATGTTTTTCACCATCCTAACAAAAAACATTGAAAGATTGATTTCTCCATTTATATTTATTCTTAGATGATATAAAATGCTAAATTTATTATATTTGATTTATAATTTTTATTTTTTTTTAATAAGACTACTTCCACCTACGCTCAGGCTTTATAATCCACTCTCCACAGCATCTTCTTCCATGATACTGATAGTCCCTGAGGAGATCCTCCGAAATTCTAGCCCTAGGTTTTAAAATTTCTGAACCTTTACCTAAATTCTCTTTTAAGAAACCTAATGCCCTTACTCATGAACCACACTGAGAACAGTAGTTTGAGCTTACTTTAGTGGAAGAGAACATAGCTCACTGTAGACACTACATTGTCTTGATGAGAGCTGACTGACTTTTAGAGCCATTCTGTTCAACCATCTGCAAATCTAAGGATTTTATGTGTTTGTGATTTGTAATAAGATTGAGTTTTGCAACACTGCCTGTGTCTGTCGGGCCAAGACATTTGCTTCACTCTGAAAATGCACATCTTTTTAGAGAAGTAAATTCTTCACAGATACACCCCGATTCCCGTGGTTTAGAACCCATATAGATCTATTACCATCTACACTAAAAATATTGTACTTGCACAACTTAGTTTATTAAAAAAAAATGTATTTCTAACAATAGCCGGGTATTTGGATTGTACTCTTGATATATTTGAATGTGACTCTTGGATTTAAGTGCACTATTATTCATGTCTTACACAATAAAATTGCACTGTATGGCGAATGTGTTTATAAAGTTTGCTTTGATAAAACCTCAAAGTGCTGTAACGTACAGGTTTCCATGTTGTGAACCTGTCTCTATCTAGTCTGAGGGGAAAATTCTGAACTTCTGTAAGTCTGTGTAACACTTTGATATTATTTGTCATGTTCACCAAGTAGTAAGTTCATGTATGTCCTTGAACTGGAATCAGTCACCTTGAGTTGGTTGGTTGGTTTGTCAGGCTTGGTTTACCGAATCAAGAAATAGTCTTGTCAGTGTGGCACTGTTCTCAGTCTGTAATATTTGTCTGTGGTGTTCTCCCTCTGCCCGAGAGGAGTGTTGCGCAGATGCTGGTATTAAATTTCTATAGACAATGGTAATAAAATCTGTATATGTTCAAAAGCTGATAAATTAAATTTGTAGGCTGATTTTAATTTTTGGATATATTTGTGAGGGTCTTGACAGTGTTTCAGTTAAAATAACTATTTTTGATCATGTTTTGAAATAATTGAAATCTGCAAAAAAGTTATAAAATAGTACACAGTGATCTCCCATATACTGTTCACCTACATTGAATGGTTGATATTGACATTTCTTCAACACTCTTTGTGTGTGTGTTTTACTACTATTTACCCTTCTAAATACTTCACAGGTATTTCCCAAGAATTAGTAGTATATATCGTATATAGTATTGACTTAGTGTGTATTAATATAAATAAATTAATTAGAGGAAATGGAAACCTTTCCTTAACATAAACTGCCAATTATTAAATGTAGAAATAGTGATGAAATTAGAAAGTCACTGTTTGGTAATCATCATGGTAATAATTGATTTAAGCAGTACCATCAATGAATGGAAACTAGCAGTTGCAAGTTTGTAGAGAACAGAATAGGAGAGCACCTTATCCAAGCAAAAGCTAACATTACCAGTAGTGAGACACACCGACATTATCTGAATTCTGAACAACTGAGAACACAGCATAATTTTTGGAGGGAAAAAAACACGACCTATGAGAGGCAAATGTAAGTACAAAATGAGTGGTCTGCATTCTTGAAAAAGAAAAAAATGTCAAGCTTATGGAAGAAAAGAAAACTGATAAACTTTTTACAAGTTTGAAATTGTTTCTAATCAAAGCCCAAACTGAACATACCAGCTGATATCATACAAAGTATTTAAAATAAAGCAAAATGAGAGTCAAAACATTTCAGCTGCTAATAAATATCTTCCCAACAAGTGAAACATCAAGCAGAAGAAAACTCTCATATTCCAAATACCTTTAAACAAAACCATCAAATAAGAAAAAAATTCTCAAATGAAAATTGCAAAATTCAGAACAGAAATAAACCAAGGAGGAGGAGGAGGAGGGAAAACAAAGAGTTGACGGATAAAGACAAAGTCATCTTAAAGATGAAGATGAAATTGAAAAGTCCCCAGTGGAGAACAGCTTCAACTGAAAATCATTAAATGGAACTGAAGAGCATGAAAGCCAGGAGAGTGAAAGATGAAGTAAACAGTGGTGCTAACTTAGGAAGAATTGGAGTGCCCAATGAAGAATAACAATGGAACAGAATTCCCAGACATAAAAATTTGAGTGAAATTGGATCTACATTGGCCAGTTCTAAAACATATTCTGGTAAAACCATTAGATTTAAGTATGAGGAAGAAAAAAGTCTTTAGGGTCTTTGACCAAGAAAGACTTTAAATCAGATCACCATTAGAGTGCTCAGTAGCATGCAAAGTAAGATGATAAGGATATCACCATTTTTGAGAAATGCCTGCCCCTAGAGTATGAGCTAAAGGTTTTGTGTGGAAAGTGATGACAGTGAATAGGAGAGCAGTGTCTGAAATTGGGGTCCCTGATGACGTCATGGCTGTGGCATGCTTGGTGCCACATAACAGTGGATTTTCTTGAGCTACAAAAAACTCCTAACATTGCACATTGCAACTGTAGTATGTAATTGAGGAATAAATTGCATAATGTTGCTAACTCTCTAACTTTCATGAATATAAAGAATAATGCTTGCATAGTCTTTAATTAGAGAGATATATAACAAAGATTGCTGGCGTAATTTAGACCTGCTTCTCCATCAGAGAGCAGCTTTCCACCCAATCCCAGCTGTTATCCTCAAAATCTGCATATGTGAGTCTTTATTTTTCTAATCTCTCATCTCTCACAGGAACCTGCTAATTTGGCTGCATTGCTCACAGTAGTTTCAGTAATAAAGTTTTAAAACCACAACAACGGTGCTTTTCTAACAGTACTACCTCCTTTCTTAAGCAGTCTATAAGGATAGACACATGATGATCCTTCTCTTTGGATCCTGTAAATGCCATGTTTTACACCCAACTCTGAATGCCCACCCCACACCTCCTTGCTTTGAAGCTTTTTCTTGGCTAACAGGGCCCATGCCAAAAAGGAGGATCTCCTCATCTGAGATAGAAATAGTAATCCTGTGGATCTGTTCAGGCCACCATCTGCGGTGAACAGCATGGCCAATCTAGCAGGTTCCAGTGAGGGAGGATGGGAGATTAGAAAAATACTCATGTACACAGATTTTTGAAGAT